AATATCAGACTGCCTTTGGTAAACTGTCCATACTCCTGGGGGAGGGCGCTTTTCTTATGCTGTTCTTTTCACTCCCTTAGTTTTTGTTGGTTAAGATCTTCTTTTGAAGAAGGGCAGGACAGCATGCATAATGGGGGCGGGCTGCAATGCATAAATGGGGGCTGGGGTTGTTTTTTCACCTCTGAAGTTATTAGATGTCTAGTGTAGAGATGTGGAGTTGTAGTAAGATATATTCCCCCAGTTATGACGTTCATTTCTGAAGGGGTTGCTATTTTGTCTGACCGCAGATTTGTGTAAATATGTATAATAATTATTTATTTAGTATATTCTGTATAATTATTTTGTTTATTGAGTTGCAAGACATTTTAATTAATAAAAATTGGGAAGAATGTTCCCCTTCCAATGGGGTGTGGTCTGGTGTGTGTGGGGAGAATGTCCCTATACGCATGTATGTGGGGTGGTCGATATAGTGGGGTGGAAAGGAATGTCGCGCTATACATAAGAGTAGTGTCTCCTATTGGTGTTGTCTCTCATAAATGCGGTCCATTACATTGGTGGGTATCATGGAGTATGAGATGAATGTGCGACGAGCAGCCGCATATCTACCAAGGGGTTTGGTAAGCGTTACAAAAATGGTTAAGAGGACGATTCCTTTTTCCAATTGGGGGTCCATGTCGGGTATAGACAATGATCTCTCCTTACATGGTGGCCTGCAGTGCGGAACGAATGATCCTTACCACTTGAGAGGTAGTAGTCTCTTGTGCCGGCACAGAAGGTGCACCGCTAAGACCCCCTGTACAGTTGTGGGGGTTCAGATGGAGTGGAAGAGACAGGATTGGATCCTTTCGTTAAGCACAAGTGGGTGGTGCGCGGTGGGACACAGTGGCAAGCTGTGATCTTCTAGCGCTAATGAGTCACCTGGCGGTTGTAGTGGTGGGTTACTGATGGTAGTGCCTTGCGTTACAGCACTGGTCAGCTCTAGACTAGCATTGCTGCAGGTCATCAGTCTAGTGTAGACTAGAGTGTGACTGTAACCCATGGGATAACAGACTTGCTCACCGTTAACATTGGTAAGAGGTACACAAAGGCGAACCACGGGGTGAGATCTTGAAGTGGAGCCCAGATCAGAGGGAGATAGTTCAGATCGGTCCTGGTAGTGTCTTCCATTTTCTATATTATTGCGTCCCACACGTTGATTTGTTCAAACACCTAAGGCTGTCTGCCTCATTGCAGAGTCAGTGGTTTCCAGCTGGTGCAGAGTCTACAATTTGTTTCATGGTTTCTTTTGACATAGTGAGTCTTTGGTACTTCACCATAGTGGAGTATTGAGTGTGTGCACTGTACAGATGTTGTGGACAGGTGTATTTTATACTGGGGGGTCAGGTGGGAAGAAATGTCCATACATTTGGTGGTCAGTGGGAAGAATTTCCCTTACATTGGGGGTCAGTGGGAGAATGTCCCTTACATTGGGGTCAGTGGGAAGAAAAGTTCCCTTACATTGGTGATCAGTGGGAAGAATGTCCCTTCACATTGGTGATCAGTGGGAAGAATGTCCCTTACATTGGTGATCAGTTGGGAAGAATGTCCCTTACATTGGTGATCAGTTGGGAAGAATATCCTCTTACATTGTGGTGATCAGTGGGAAGAATGTCCCTTACATTGGTGGTCAGTGGGAAGAATGTCCCTTACATTGGTGAGTCAGTGGGAAGAATGTCCCTTACATTGGTGGTCAGTGGGAAGAATGTCCCTTACATTGGGGGTCAGTGGGAAGAATGTCCCTTACATTGGGGGTCAGTGGGAAGAATGTCCCTTACATTGGGGTCAGTGGGAAGAAATGTCCCTTACATTGGTGGTCAGTGGGAAGAATGTCCCTTACATTGGTGGGTCAGTGGGAAGAATGTCCCTACATTTGGTGGTCAGTGGAAGAATGTCCCTTACATTGGGGTCGGGTGGGAAGAATGTCCCTTACATTGGGGTCAGTGGGAAGAATGTCCCTTACATTGGTGGTCAGTGGGAAGAATGTCCCTTACATTGGCGTCAGTGGGAAGAATGTCCCCTTACATTGGGGGTCAGTGGGAAGAATGTCCCTTACATTGGTGGTCAGTGGGAAGAATGTCCCTTACATTGGGGGTCAGTGGGAAGAATGTCCCTTACATTGGTGATCAGTGGGAAGAATGTCCCTTACACCTGGTGGTCGGTGGGAGAATGTCCCTTACATTGGTGATCAGTGGGAAGAATGTCCTTACTATTGGTGATCAGTGGGAAGAATGTCCCTTACATTGGGATCAGTGAGAAGAATGTCCCTTACATTGGGGGGTCAGTGGAAGAATGTCCCTTACATTGGGGGTCAGTGGGAAGAATGTCCCTTACATTGGTGGTCAGTGGGAATGTTCTTAATGTCATTGGGAAGGAATGTTCCCTTACATTGGGGGTCAGTGGGGAAGAATGTCCACTTACATTGGGGGTCGGGTGGGAAGAATGTCCCCTTACATTGGTGGTCAGTGGGAAGAATGTCCCTTACATTGGTGATCAGTGGGAAGAATGTCCCTTACATTGGGGGTCAGTGGGAAGAATGTCCCTTACATTGGGGTCAGTGGGAGAATGTCCCTTACATTGGGGTCAGTGGGAAGAATGTCCCCTTACATTGCGGGGTCAGTGGTGAAAGAATGTTCCCTTACATTGGTGGTCAGTGGGGAAGATGTCCCTTACATTGGTGGTCAGTGGGAAGAATGTCCCTTACATTGGGGGTCAGTGGGAAGAATGTCCCCTTACATGGTGTGATCAGGTGGAAGAATGTCCCTTACATTGGTGGTCATTGGGAAGAATGTCTCCTTACATTGGGGGTCAGTGGGAAGAATTGTCGGTGAAAGAATGACCCTTACATTGCGTGGACGGTTGGGAAGAATATCCACATAATAATAAGTTGGTGTATCTGTCCAGGTGACTTATTTGCATAGGACAGAATTTCTGCATTGCTCAAGGGCGACCACTAGCTGGCCTTTGGAGGATTTCCCTGGTAGTTGGCAAAGCCTGGTTCAGGGATGCCGGATCCTTTTTTCTTTTGTCCTCCACAGTTCTGGTTTAGGTGATTTACATCTCAGTAATATGTGGAAAAAATAAATGTCTCTGGATATCCCATAATCTCCTATCAAGGTAAGTTTGTTGCAGATTTGTTTTGAAAGCGATTTATATAAAAGGCAATCTCTTTGTCTTTCCTGCCCAGAATGGGCAACCGTGACTCCAGATGGAACATGGGGTTCTTGTATCCTGGGCACTACTGAGCTGCGTAAGAACATTTTCCTGCTTATGAAACCCATTATATATATTACATTTAAACATTAGAATCACGGGTTCCCTGCCCCCTTTTATTGTTCTCGGCAATTGTCACATGTTTTCCTCTTCTACTACCAGTGCTCCAACCATGGAAGAGAAGTGGAGTGGGATGGCCCCTGGCGTCATACGAAGCTGGAAACGACTCATTGGAGATGTGTCTCTCCGGTGGCCTTCCTGACATTGGGAAACATCAAAAGCTGTGAGTGGTCAAGATCCTGCCTGAATATAAAATATCCACGGCTGTTGCTTATGGATCCCCTGTGTACCATGGAGACTTGAGATCAAAATAGTTCACATATTCACCATATTAACCAGAGAACATTCAGAACTTTTTATAGAGTCCAGGGAAAAACTTTTATTTTCTAGTTTTGGATAGTGACTTCTGTAAGTTTTATAGCGGTTTATGTCCAAACCTCCCCATCCAAGGATCAGTTTTGGAAACTCCTAGGTGACTCACGTGTAGGTTGTCCGTAGTTGGGCTGTCAGGCTAAATTTACGTTTTGAGTGAGAGCCAGTAATCACAGCGATCACATGAGCAAGCCAGTGCAAGGATTTTTGTCTACACTAGGCAATGTTGCATGGTAGAGCAATGATTACATGTAAGCTTATCACATGGTACATGGCACCCTGTACCAAGTGTGGATTTTCGGTAGCAAATCACAGTTTATCACAGTAAAAAAAAATAAACTAAGGGTAAAAGCAAGCTGCCAGGGAATGACCAGCCAATTCATGCCAGATGAAACTATAGTCTGATTTATGAACAGTGATCAACATCCAGTTGCTACAAAAAAAAAATTCTCTGATCACCCCCCCGCGCCCCCTCCTCAGAGTGGGTACAAGTCGTCAGTGAAAGTGCCCTGATGACGGTATGTTAAAAAAAAATGCTTTAACAAAAGAAAAAAGTTTTTAAATCATTTAATTTTTTCTGTATTTTCACAGATACAGTCACCAGTCAGTATCCCTGAGATCACCGCCACACCTGTCATATGATGGCGCCTGTACTTACTACTGGTGATAACAGGAAGTTGAAACAAAATTGTGATGGAAAGTTTTTTAGGCTTTTTTTGTTAATAGTCCCAGTCTGGCTGACATAATCCTGTTATTTCATTTCTTACTTTTGTCCTAAAAAATTGTGTCGACTCAAAAATATACACTTGCAATAAAACGCGCCATCTTTCTTACTAGAATACCTCAGACTGTACCCTAGTCCTTTTCAAAAAGGGTTCATTTGGGAAGGGGGGGGGGTAATCACTTTGTACTGTTCCTGCAGAGATAAGGCATTCCTAAAGTGATTACTAAACCACTCGATGCCTGTGCATCACTTTATCCGCCTCATTCCCCGGACCCCGCATTCACTATATCCGCTCTCCCCGCGACCCCGCATTCACAGATATCCCGCTCTCAACCCGGTCCCCGCATTCACTATATCCAAATCCGCTCTCCCCGGTCCCGCATTCACTATATCCCCGCTCTCACCCGGTCCCCGCATTTCACTATAAATCCGCTCTCCCCGGACCCCGCATTCACCGATATCCGCTCTCCTCGGGATCCCCCAGCATTCCACTATATCCGCTCTCCCCGGTCCCCGCATCTTTCACTATATCCGTCTCCCCGGTACACATGTCCACTATATCGCTCTCCCGGTACCCCGCATTCACTGTATCCGCTCTCCCCGGACCCCGGCATTCACCGTATCCGCTCTCCCCCCGCATTCACTATATCCGCTCTCCCCCGGACCCTCGCACATTCACTATATCCGCTCTCCCCGGACCCCGCATTCACACTATCCATCCGCTCTCCCCGGACCCCGCATTCACTATATCCGCTCTCCCCGGACCCCCTGCATTCACTATATCCGCTCTCCCCGGACCCCGCATTCACTATATCCGCTCTCCCCGGACCCCATTCACTATATCCGCTCTCCCCGGACCCCGCATTCACTACTATATCCTCTCTCCCGGACCCCGCATTTCACTATAATCCGCTCTCCCCGGACCCCGCATTCACTATATCCGCTCTCCCGGACCCCGCATTCACTATATCCGCTCTCCCTCCGGACCCCGCATTCACTATATCGCTCTCCCCCGGGACCCCGCATTCACTATATCCGCTCTCCCCGGACCCCGCATTCACTATATCCGCTCTCCCCGGACCCCGCATTCACTATATCCGCTCTCCCCGGACCCCGCATTCACGCATATCACTATATCCGCTCTCCCCGGACCCCGCATTCACTATATCCGCTCTCCCCGGACCCCGCATTCACTATATCCGCTCCTCCCCCGAACCCTCGCCGCATTTCACTATATCCGCTCTCCCCGGACCCCGCATTCACTATATCCGCTCTCCCCGGACCCCGCATTCACTATATCCGCTCTCATCCCCGGACCCCGCATTCACTATATCCGCTCTCCCCGGACCCCGCATTCACTATATCCGCTCTCCCCGGACCCCGCATTCACTATATCCGCTCTCCTCCCCGGACCCCGCATTCACTATATCCGCTCTCCCCGGACCCCGCATTCACTATATCCGCTCTCCCCGGGACCCCGCATTCACTATATCCGCTCTCCCCGGACCCCGCATTCACTATATCCGCTCTCCCGGACCCCGCATTCACTATATCCGCTCTCCCCGGACCCCGCATTCACTATATCCGCTCTCTCCCCGGACCCCGCATTCACTATATCCGCTCTCCCCGGACCCCGCATTCACTATATCCGCTCTCCCCGGACCCCGCATTCACTATATCCGCTCTCTCCCCGGACCCCGCATTCACTATATCCACTCTCCGGACCTCGCATTCACTATATCTACGCTATCCCCCGGACCCCCCGCATTCACTATATCCGCGAATTCACTCCCGGACCCCCGCATTCACTATATCCGCTCTAATCCGCCCCGTCACTATATCCGCTCTCCCCGGACCCCGCATTCACTATATCCGCTCTCCCCCCCGGACCCCGCTATTCACTATATCCGCTCTCCCCGGACCCCGCATTCACTATATCCGCTCTGCCCGGGGACCCCCCGCATTTTTTCACTATATCCGCTCTCCCCGGACCCGGACGCATTCACTATATCCGCTCTCCCGGACCCGGACCCCGCATTCACTCTTATCCGCTCTCCCCGGACCCCGCATTCACTATATTACGC